GACCTGCCCCCCCCCCCCCGGTCACGTTTCTCGGACCTTGACATCAGCTGGGCTACAGTGCCGGGAATGCTGGAAGTTATCTTTTGCCTCCTCTGGAAGGCCTCACGTAGGAGCAGACTACGCCAGCAGATCGATATTTGATTCACTCGGGCAGGCGGACAGGCAGGCGCGTTAGCAGAAATGTACGGGGTCCAGGCTATTGCCGATTTCCTCCGAGGCATGGCAAGGACAATGAAACCTGGTCGTTTTAAAGGGAGCAGAGGAGAGTCGGATTGAATCGGATCCAATATGAGGTTGGCTCAGTAGTTGAAGTAAAGGAGAAAGTGAGTGGAATAAACCCCATACACCTAGGGTTTCAGAATCAAAAACCTCTGTGCAGATCTCTATACTTATAAACCACTGTTCATTATGAAAAGTCCCTACCACTTCAACCAGTGATATGAAACTGAAAGTCTCTGCCTCTAAATACTAGATTTAAAAATCTCTCCAGCATTATCAAATGCTTTTGGCATCTTGTGTTCGTCTGTACTTCATTTTATGTGCTGGTTGGATGTTTCTTTTTTCTTTCCTGCAACAGCCAGGAGGCAGTAGAGGCTACTTCTTTCCCAGACAGTAAAGCTAGGAAGCTCTGTCACATTTCTTCTGAATGCTGCACTTGTCTCCTGTTCTCAGCTGCCCCATCCCCTGTCATTTGCTACTGCTGCTCCAGTTCCAGACACTTTGGGGAAAAAATTACTTTCCAGCTAGGCAGAATGTATGTCCAGGGAAAGCCAGACACATGGATGTAATTGGATGTCTTGGGGGTCTGTCTTTTAGCTAATCATGGAACTCTTTGTACTTTTTAATTGCAGGGAAAGTATTATGACTATCTTCCTATTGTGCAAAGGGCACATCCTTTTGATTGAAAAAAATAGCATACTCTCTACATTCAGCAATGAAATAGTAAAGTTGTCTTAATTTTCTGCTGCTTTATTGTCGCATTCAGCATTCAAGTAATGGAATGTGCTTTGCCATAGAATTTTGAAGCTTGTTAAAACATTTTAGCCTTGAAGAGTTCCTGCAGAATTTCTTTTACCATTTAACTGTATTATTAAAATGAACAACATTTAGGTGAGTTTTGAAGTAGTTTTAGATCTAAACTGAGCTTTTCCCTGTCTTTATGTTTTAAACACTCTTTAATGAAAATATACCACTATATTTGTTTATAATGATTTTTAAAATTTCGTTTTATATAGAATGACAGCTGTTTTAGTGCTCCAGATGCTCTTCAGCATTTTCAGAGCTGGAAGATCAAAACTGATCAAGTTAAGAAAGCTGAATTTATAACAACAGGCAATAAACTAAAAAATCAGTAAGTTTAAATTTTATAATGGTATAACCTGCCTAAAACAAGACATGGTAATAAAATAAAAAATAAAACATTTGATAAATCGTCAAGTATTATACAGTGGGGCAAAAAAGTATTTAGTCAGCCACCAATTGTGCAAGTTCTCCCACTTAAAAAGATGAGAGAGGCCTGTA